AAAACTAGGCATTGAGGATCACGGAGAAGTCTCTATTGCTATGAATCTGTCTGAACACCGCAACGCTTCTAAGATTTATTGGACATCAAACGTTCTGAGTCATACTCTTGCTTCCTTTTGGCTCACTGAAGGAGCACTAAGCTTAGTATTATGATGTCGAAGCAGGATAAGATGAAAGTGTCTTTGAACAGACCGAAAACTGTAAAGAAGTATTGTTTGTTTTTTGGCCGATCTGGAACACTGACATCGTTTTTCACATTGCCTCATTAAGTAGTTGGCAAACACAGGCAGTTTGAGAAGAATAAAGAACTGTTTGAACATTAAAGCATGTAAACATGTCAGAGTAGAGGAAAAAAATAACCTGAAAATGAGCAGAATATTGCTGCTAACTTAGTTTGCCATTTGGTGCTTGGCATATACACAAATACTGTTGCAAATGGGTCTTACACATGAAAAGGGTTGTTACATAATCCATGGAGAATGTTCTGGATCAGCCTCTTCTGGGGAGAAAGACTTGACTGAGATCGACACAGATTTGTTGTGATCCCATTTTGAGACTATTCGCTGAGGATATATTGATTAGATTAGATTCCTTTTATTGTCACTACACAGAGTACAGCATTGAAGCATTGAACAGTACACTTACAAAACACATTACCATACAAATACAAGAACAATACGGTCAAGGCAGTAAAAAAAAAAAAGTAATAAAAAAAAAATAGTACGTTATTGCACATGTATTTATCAGTGCAGTTGACAAAACTAAATGGGCTGTGTTGTCAACAAAATGTAACAACAAAGTATAACAAAAATGAAACTTGATTACAAGAATATGTTTTCTGACTGTACAGCTTATCTTTGTCATGTGTTATTGTGTCCCACAGCAAGGCGTAGAGCCTTCAAGTCCCTCCAAGCCCAACCTGTTGTCAGAGTGTTGGTGGCGCAAGCGTCCGAAGACGAACCCCGTGGACTCCCGTCTGCCTCCGGTGGACACGCAGAACAGCCTCACTCACGCCTCCTGCGGTCGCACCGAGATGGAGCCGGAGAGAGGGGAGGAGGAGGAGGACGAGAACAACCAGAACGACCGGCCTGCCGTCAGGAGGAACTGCGAGGTGAAGGATCTGTCAAACGGACGAACGCACACGGCTGTACGGTGGACGGCTCAATCACAAATCAACAGTTCAAGATTCAGGAGCATGCACGCACGTGAGAAAAAGGCCACTCAGATGCTGGCCATCGTGCTGGGTAAGTGGAGATTGTCTTAAGTAGGGATGAAAGGGTAAAGGTCATGACACTTAGTGATGTTTGTCCGGGCCAAATTGATCTAAATACATGTATTTTCCTTCCAGAATACCGTCTAATTTACATTTCTATTATTATAGTATGAATAAAAAGTAATAAAATGGACTTCACTTCGTTACACAGCTTCACGTTTTCTGAATGTACGCTTAAGCCTAAAACAGTATTGTGCAGTTCACACAAAAAAGTAACATCATGAGTGCAAACAGGCTACTTATACACAGCTAAAGCCCGAGCATTAGCAGCCTATCAATGCCTATAACAATAATAAAGCATATAACTGCAGAGGCAATTTAATGTAGACTTGCTTATTACCCTGCTACAACTCCTTAAACATTTTGATTGTCTTTTCTGCTTGTACCGTCTACTTCCCAGAGGTGATGGCAACAGCACATTTTCTCACGCGGTGTGCATTTGCTGCATATTTTGCAGAGCCCCAATAAATCAAGTTGAATTTTCAGAAATGTCTGGTTGGCTTTGGGTTCCCAGTGTGAGTCCAAACACACACAGCTCTTCCTGACGCAGCTCCTGACACAGCTTCCACACGCTCCAATTATCAGCCAGCTTTCTATAAGGCTGGACAATTTAGCTCTGGCCCGGTATGGATCTCTCTGACATTAATGTAATCACAGGTGTCTCATTACGTTACACGGGTGTTGGTGAAAACTGTGGCGCACACACAGAAGTCATCTCAGTCTCACCCACTCCCACATGCTCTTCAGCCAACTGACCACTGATATTGCCATGAAGCTGTGACCCCAATTACAGTGCTGGAATTTAATGAGTTTTTCTACTATGCTGCAGCATTTATAGTTGTTTATATATAAAAAATGTCCTATGGCTGCCTGGGAAAATAAGTGAGAGTGGTATGAAGTCCCAAAGTATGGATTAATAGGGAAACTAAAGTGTTTTAATTGCTATGCCTGTAGAGATTTCTAACACAACTCACAGGCAGTTTGAAATGAGACGCTGATTAAACACTCAACATTTATAATTACTTTTCGTAGTAGTCAGTCTTTGATTTTGCATAAAAGTAAACAAATTCAGGCTAACTGCTGCTGCCCGCGGCTGTTAATTCATTGTTATTTCATCTCAAATTCTGCTATGAGTTGGTTAACAATTAACCTGATTCTTCTGCTTTTTTTCTACCTTTGACTGTTTGAATGTTTTCTAAAATCAACTGTAACCCCAAATGATCATTCATATAGTTAGCTATTATTTATATTAATTGTTATACACCATTAGATTACTTTAGAAGTACATTTGGTTTGTACTGTTGGTCATAGGCTAATTAGCCCAGCATGCTAACGAGTACCTCACGTTCAAACTTCCCTAAGAGTCCAGTGTGTTAAGGGGATTTATTGGCAGAAATGGAATATGATATTAACAAATATGTTTTCATTTGTGCGTTATCACCTGAAACTAAGAATAATTTAGTTTTTGTCAGCTTAGAAAGAGCCCTTCATAGCCTATCTGTATTCTTCTTCACGGAGTTAGCCATTTATTTACATTAGCTTAGAACGGACAAACCAAACCCTGGCTAAAGAGAAGGCTTTAGCGTTATTGCATTAGCTTAAGGCCACTGTTTTCTACTAAATTTAACACACTGGACCATTACATTATTATACTTTATGATGTCACTTGGAGATTTGAAAGGGTCTGTTGGTAGTAAGCTAATTAGCTGAGCATGCTAACGTCTTTAGCATGTTGTAGTAGACACATTTTCTTACAACTTTGTTTGTGCTTTTTGTGTTTCGTCCTTTCTCCATGCCTCTCCAGGGGTGTTTCTCATCTGCTGGCTGCCCTTCTTTGTGACCCACATAGTGAACACCCACTGCAGGACATGCTACGTGCCTCCTGGGCTTTACAGCGCTTTCACCTGGCTGGGTTACGTCAACAGTGCCCTCAACCCTATTATCTACACCACCTTCAACATCGAGTTCAGACGGGCTTTCATCAAGATCCTCAGCTGCTGAGCGACAGGATATTAAAAAATGGATATTACTAAGTGTGCTGCACTTATTGAAATGGTGAAAACAGATGGCCACGATGCAGATATTTTTAACCTGCCTTACTCGAGCAGCAAGAAAAAAAAAAAGACGCAATGCAATAAATACAAACACAAAAGGATTTTTACTTCACTTTTTCCTCAACAGGAATTTCATACTTCAATGGAACAGTATCAGTCTTAAAAAAACATACAGTCTTTTTGATAGCACAAGGTGTTGGACTTTCTTCTCTCATACAGTATCTGTGCTGCTCTTTGAAAAAGGGACTATTCGATACACATATTCGAAAGCTCTTTGGATCTAGAAAGATGAAGCTTCAAGACTGATAAGATCGCAGAGCTGCGGGCCGCTTTTTCCAAAGGCAGTGTGTGGATTAACTGAAGTTACTCACCTCCCTCTCTCGCCTCTTACTTCACCATCAGTTACTCTACAGTGCATGCACACATCAGGTTTCAAGGGCGTTCGCTTGGATTGTGCTAGAAGGATTGTATTTGTTCCTAAAAGACACCATCATTTTTGAAGATTGTCATATTTTTTGGTGTGGGAGCATTGTGTTCAATGTGGATTCATTAGAATACAAAAAAAAATACATTGAGATTTTGATGTAATGCTCATTGGAAAGGTGTTTTTTTAAAGGGATTGTCGGTTTATTGGCGAACCCCTCCTGTGATTTAGAGCTGACGCCAGAGATGAAGTACTCGAGTCCTGGAGTCCGAGTTGAGTCACGAGTCCCGAAAATCGGCACTCGCGACTCTGACTCGGACTCGTGAAGTTTCCCCCCAGGTTTGACTCGGACTCGACTTGTACATTGACACTCCGACTTGGACTCAAACAAGTTTTCTCTGGAGTCTGATGTCCTCTATCCTGGCGTGTGCACCTGCGAGGCGAGTTCACGTACTGGGCCCGGCTATTCCAGTCTAGAGATGTCTAGAGACACCCCCCGCACATTCTGCTTCCACATTGGGAAAGAGCAGCGCAAAATGCTCGTTACGTGGAAAAAAGATTGAAGAGAAGGCTCCGTAACACATTACTCTAAGGATCGAGTTCAGACATATAGGCTGTCTTGAACACTATCATCCGAGTAACGTGCTCTAATCAATAAATAAAGATTCAGCCGATAACACGAAAGCACATACTTACCATGCAGAATGTCGTCATTTTGCATGCTAAGTAGCCATGTGCTTTCTGGGGCTTAATCTTTATTTCTTAGAATTTAAACATTTACTATAATAATTAGCGTCCCCGGCTGAATGATGGTCAGACCCTCCAACCGATGGTATCTGTTTATTGCACACCCTTGCTTTTATACAATCATTACCAACATAAGAGCTTGTGCCCTTATCAGCCAGGTGCTAAAAACCCAATGTAACTATGTTCATTTATTCGTCAATAAACACATTAGTATAACATGACAGGATAAAAGCAATGAAGAGGAGCTATAGCTACATTTCAACAAATATATCCACTAAGATTAATACATGAAGACTTGTGACTCGGACTGGACTCGGACACTCCTTGGGTGACTTGGACTTGGACTCGAACACAGGTAATGATGACTCGGACTGGACTCGGACACTCCTTGGGTGACTTGGACTCGGACTCGAACACAGGTAATGATGACTCGGACTTGACTCGGACACTTCTTGGGTGACTTGGACTCGGACTCGAACACAGGTAATGATGACTCGGACT